TCCACATCTTACAAAAATAAAAGTGAACATGTAATTGTAGTTCATTGTTGTGATGCATTATGCTGTTTTTACTGCTTAAGACTACAAATGTAAGAGAAATAATAGTATTTCTTACCTTAAATTGTGGGTGCTGGTGTTTGTGGATGTTTGTAAAGAGAGGGGAGAGTTATGCTATGGCCCTACTGGGCTGAGTGGATGGTAGAGGTTCTGGTACTGAAGTCGATGGTTGTACTGGAGTGTCTAACTTAAAGTCAGTCTTTCAGTCAAGTCATTCAGTCGAGTCATTCAGTCAGTTAAGTCAGTAAGTTATTCAGTGAAGTCAGCTAGTCAAGTCATTCAGTAAGTCAGTCATCATTCAGTCAGTAAATCAGTCAAATCATTCAGTCAGTCAATTTATCCAGTAAGTCAGTCAAGTCAGTAAGCCATTCAATCAAATCAGTAAGTCATTCAGTAAGTCAGTCAAGTCAGTCAGATCATTCAGTCAGTCAGTCATTCAGTAAGTCAGTCAGTCACACAAACTTATGTTTACCTCTTTTCATGTGTTCAAAGTAACACTTCACTACGGCTACAGGTTATCTCTTGTCTAATATCTTTGTTTTCTTCATTAATTCTAAGACTTAAATGCTTATACAGGTCCGCCATCACAAATCTGGCAATCAGTTATTCGGTTCCTTCAGTTATTCGGCACTAATTTTGGCTAGCATAATTTCAAATTTCCAGGGTCGCCACACCAACCTGCTGGTACTGTGTGGTGGCGCTACTTGCTGCATAAGTCATTCCAATTTCTTTTCTCCATTTATTGTTTTAACCTGCTAACTTTTAGCCCTAGCCATGGTTCCAATGACTAAAAGAAATGCTTCTCATTATGTAAAGCACCTACACAGTACATTATTCATTAAAGATAAGGTGGCTTTGAAGCCACTGTCAGTTGCCATGAGCTCAGTCTCATGAAGCAGGAGAATATGCTTTATTATTACGCTAATATCAACACTACAGCTTATTTGCCTATCACAATTGATCTAATATGACATAAGAAACAGTATAAATAACATAAAACATGTTAAATACTCCAGAATGAATAATATTTGACATAACACCGAGCAGTTCGACAGAGATATGAAGAGGATATAGTATACAAATACCATTCTCCTATCCCTGTCTTAGGGCTTATATTAGAGAAAATGGAGTGTAGCACAGGGCTAACTGTAATGTACACTTGTTCTGCACCATAAACCTGAAACAAAAGTTATTTTCTCTATATAGATTATCACACATAGTAGCATATGTGTAGAGAACCTAGGATAACCCAAAAAAGTCAACGTGGCTTATTTTTAGTACCTGCCTTGGGTTAGCCATATATGATTTTTGGTAAATATTTGATTCCCATCCAGGGTAGAAACATTAGGCGTGTTTCTTTACACATGTTGTCTATGTTTACCCATCACCGAGGCAGGGTGACCCAAAAAAGAAAGAAAATCCCCAAAAAGAAAATACTTTCATCATCATTCAACACTTTCACCACACTCACAAATTATCACTGTTTTTGCAGAGGTGCTCAGAATACAACAGTTTAGAAGCATATACATATAAAGATACACAACATATCCCTCCAAACTGCCAATATCCCAAACCCCTCCTTTAAAGTGCAGGCATTGTACTTCCCATTTCCAGGACTCAAGTCTGACTATATGAAAATAACCGGTTTCCCTGAATCCCTTCACTATTACCCTGCTCACACTCCAACAGATCGTCAGGTCCCAAGTACCATTCGTCTCCATTCACTCCTATCTAACACGCTCACGCACACTTGCTGGAAGTCCAAGCCCCTCGCCCACAAAACCTCCTTTACCCCCTCTCTCCAACCCTTTCGAGGACGACCCCTACCCCTCCTTCCTTCCCCTATAGATTTATATGCTTTCCATGTCATTCTACTTTGATCCATTCTCTCTAAATGACCAAACCACCTCAACAACCCCTCTTCTGCCCTCTGACTAATGCTTTTATTAACACCACACCTTTTCCTAATTTCCACACTCCGAATTTTCTGCATAATATTTACACCACACATTGCCCTTAGACAGGACATCTCCACTGCCTCCAACCGTCTCCTCGCTGTTGCATTTACCACCCAAGCTTCACATCCATATAAGAGTGTTGGTACTACTATACTTTCATACATTCCCTTCTTTGCCTCCATAGATAACGTTTTTTGACTCCACATATACCTCAACGCACCACTCACCTTTTTTCCCTCATCAGTTCTATGATTAACCTCATCCTTCATAAATCCATCCGCCAACACGTCAACTCCCAACTATCTGAAAACATTTACTACTTCCATATTCCTCATCCCCAATTTGATATCCAATTTTTCTTTATCTAAATCATTTGATACCCTCATCACCTTACTCTTTTCTATGTTCGCTTTCAACTTTCTACCTTTACACACATTCCCAAACTCATCCACTAACCTTTGCAATTTTTCTTTAGAATCTCCCATAAGCACAGTATCATCAGCAAAAAGTAACTGTGTCAATTCCCATTTTGAATTTGATTCCCCATAATTTAATCCCACCCCTCTCCCGAACACCCTAGCATTTACTTCTTTTACAACCCCATCTATAAATATATTAAACAACCGTGGTGACATTACACATCCCTGTCTAAGACCTACTTTTACCGGGAAGTATTCTCCCTCTCTTCTACACACCCTAACCTGAGCCTCACTATCCTCATAAAAACTCTTTACAGCATTTAGTAACTTACCACCTATTCCATATACTTGCACCATCTGCCACATTGCTCCTCTATCCACTCTGTCATATGCCTTTTCTAAATCCATAAATGCAATAAAAACTTCCCTACCTTTATCTAAATACTGTTCACATATATGCTTCAATGTAAACACTTGATGTACACATCCCCTACCCACTCTGAAACCTCCCTGCTCATCCGCAATCCTACATTCTGTCTTACCTCTAATTCTTTCAATTATAACCCTACCGTATACTTTTCCTGGTATACTCAGTAAACTTATTCCTCTATAATTTTTACAATCTCTTTTGTCCCCTTTCCCTTTATATAAACGGACCATACATGCTCTCCGCCAATCCCTAGGTACCTTCCCCTCTTTCATACATTTATTAAACAAAAGTACCAACCACTCCAACACTATATCCCCCCCTGCTTTTAACATTTCTGTCATGATCTCATCAGTTCCAGCTGCTTTACCCCCTTTCATTCTACGTAATGCCTTACGTACCTCCCCCACACTTACACTCTGCTCTTCTTCACTCCTAAAAGATGGTATACCTCCCTGGCCAATGCATGAAATTACCGCCTCCCTTTCTTCCTCAACATTTAAAAGTTCCTCAAAATATTCTCGCCATCTACCTAATACCTCCCTCTCCCCATCTACTAACTCCCCTACTCTGTTTTTAAATGACAAATCCATACTTTCCCTAGGCTTTCTTAACTTGTTTAACTCACTCCAAAATTTTTTCTTATTTTCATTAAAATTTCTTGACAGTGCCTCTCCCACTCTATCATCTGCTCTCCTTTTGCACTCTCTCACCACTCTCTTCACCTTTCTTTTACTCTCCATATACTCTGCTCTTCTTATAACACTTCTGCTTTGTAAAAACCTCTCATAAGCTACCTTTTTCTCTTTTATCACACCCCTTACTTTATCATTCCACCAATCACTCCTCTTTCCTCCTGCCCCCACCCTCCTATAACCACAAACTTCTGCCCCACATTCTAATACTGCATTTTTAAAACTATTCCATCCCTCTTCAACCCCCCCCCCCACTACTCATCTTTGCACTAGCCCACCTTTCTGCCAATAGTCGCTTATATCTCACCCGAACTTCCTCCTCTCCTTAGTTTATACACTTTCACCTCCCTCTTACTTGTTGTTGCCACCTTCCTCTTTTCCCATCTACCTCTTACTCTAACTGTAGCTATAACTAAATAATGATCCGATATATCAGTTGCCCCTCTATAAACATGTACATCCTGGAGCCTACCCATCAACCTTTTATCCACCAATACATAATCTAACAAACTACTTTCATTACGTGCTACATCATACCTTGTATATTTATTTATCCTCTTTTTCATAAAATATGTATTACTTATTACCAAATCTCTTTCTACACATAGCTCAGTTAAAGGCTCCCCATTTACATTTACCCCTGGCACCCCAAATTTACCTACTACTCCCTCCACAACATTTTTACCCACTTTAGCATTGAAATCCCCAACCACCATTACTCTCACACTTGATTCAAAACTCCCCACACATTCACTCAACATTTCCCAAAATCTCTCTCTCTCCTCTACACTTCTCTCTTCTCCAGGTGCATACACGCTTACTATAACCCACTTTTCACATCCAATTTTTATTTTACTCCACATAATCCTTGAATTAATACATTTGTAGTCCCTCTTTTCCTGCCATAGCTTATCCTTCAACATTATTCTACTCCTTTAGCTCTAACTCTATTTGAAACCCCTGACCTAATCCCATTTATTCCTCTCCATTGAAACTCTCCCACCCCCTCCAGCTTTGTTTCACTTAAAGCCAGGACATCCAGCTTCTTCTCATTCATAACATCCACAATCATCTCTTTGTTATCATTTGCACAACATCCACGCACATTCAGACTTCCCACTTTGAAAATTTTCTTCTTCTTATTCTTCTTATTCTTATTGTACATGTACGTGTAGTAAATAAAGATATTATTACTGTACAGGCTTCCATTTTGCACTCATTTGGCAGTATTGTAGTTCCTCCCTGGGTGGTTGCTGTCTACGAACCTACTGCCTATTTTATATAAAAGAAATGTCATTGTATGACTGATAATTATTTCAGTCACAGTCTTTCCAAATTATAAATTAATAAATGAAAGTTATCTTCATTATTATAAGAAAAAAGTACTCTTCTACCTGAAGATAATGATGCATATATTTACTTCATTTTCTTTGTTTACATTCAGATTGCCATGGGAGTAGGTTGACTGCGGTTCTACAGTCTGTTGGCTCAATGGAAGATAAGAACAATGACATCGTTCATGAAGCAGATGAAATGATGTACTCAAGATTATCCGAGTTGGCACTAAATGATGGTGCAAGTGAACACGTCTCTGCCGGCAGCAGATTGCAAGACAGCGAGGAGCAAGATGATGACTTAGGTTAGTAAAATTTATCGTACTTTCAGCATTTGAACATTTGTAGTCTGTGGCTTTTAGTAACTACACAGTAAAGCTATTTTTAGTGCATTTAAATCTTTGAAGGTATTCAGGTATGTTAGCCATAGTTCTGAAAGTGGAAAGTGCAGTGCCAATGCTAAGGCACTGCACTTCCCACCTTCAGAGGGTCACTTGAATTGTGATGTCCTCACACTTGTGTCAAGACAGCTGTTGAATAAGTGATGACAAGTGTGTTTCTTTTAGTCACCCTACCATGGTGGGGAAATGGACTGATGTTGTAAAACAAAAAGCTTTATTACTGTTTGTTCTCCCTTTGGTATACCATGAGGTTATGTCTGAACTTAACCATTCTTTCTTTCAATGTATTGTAAATCACTTGACTTTCACATAAGGCAAGTCTGAACTTTAAGACTCTTAAGTGACATTCGATTCGCTTCATCATCTGTAACACTCATTATTTCAGCAGATGGCCTTCCCACAGCAACACCACCACTCCCATCCTTTTACCTCTTACTACCACTCCATCATCTCTCTCACCTCTCCTGTGGAAGCTTTTGTATCCCTATATGTTAGAATATTCTAGAGAGAGGGGTAGTAATCCTCTCCCCGTCTCGAGTTTTTTATGTGACCCAGAGGTCACTGTGACCATTACTTTCCTTCCCTTGCTGCTAAGTTGAGGGAGAAGTTAGGGTTTATGAAGCGCTAACTGTTCCTTTCCATCATGCTAGTGCTGTGTGTACTACACATTTGGCTCTTGTAATGTTAGAAATGAAACCTATTTGTAACTGAGGTCTAGGAAATCTGACAAGTTTAGTGAATGTCATAATGACTATGTTCTGACATATCTAGAGAGATTCATGTTATCCTTTGCCAACCATCTGGCAACATTGTCCCAAGGCAGAGCCAGCACTTGTGGGCTGGGCTGACCTTGAATGCCTAGGACAGTCTCGTTCTAATAACCAAAGAAAGCATGCAGGGTAGCTCATGATTGCTTGATTAGAATGCTAGATTAGTTCAGTATTGCTCCCTGAATTCATCAAAGAATGAGATAACATGGTGCCTCTAATTATTGTGTACTTGGACATCTCTCTGAGTCAGTGAAATTAAGTTCTGAGACTCATTTAAGTGAACTTATGGGATCCAAACTCTTAGAGGTGGTCTGTGATCTTATGGTTATGGATGGCACATTGGTTAAGCAAAGTGATTAGCTACTGAGTTAAGCCCTAGTACTATCCCTTCCACTCATAACCTTCCTCTCACCAACCTACTCTTCTACTATCACCACTTCCCTGCTCACCCCACAAGGGTCTTACCTATACTCTCTTGACCTTGAGCAAAGTAGGTGTTAGCTATAATGATTGATGATATTTAGATGCAACAACTGCTCATCATTTAGCTGGACATAAGTACCTGGACATCTCGTACTGACCTCACCATAAATCCTAGACCACCAAAACCTCAGGTAAAATTAATCCACCTGTGAGATCAAGTAAAAATTCTTTCCTTACCTTGTTCATTAAGTAGACTACAATCATAATTTTGGTTCAAGGCAGGTAGGGGCCTGATGTATTATTAGTATAGGGTAAGTGGGAATTTGTCCCAGAGCTGGTCAGAGTGTCATTCCACCGTATCATATATCTTCCCTTGTGCCAGCCCATGCTTCATTCAGCAGCCAGTTAGGCTGGAACATTCAGCCTGGTACTTAACCTGGAACCATGTGTCATCAAGGACATTATATTGGTAAGTATCCAATGTTCAAGGTGCTTGTTTTGACAACCATCTGTGGAGGAGGTGCACCATACCCTTGATAGAGTGTGGGGAGGCTAGCACTCTGGATGATGAAACTGGTTCTAATTAACGAAGTAAGTCAAATATACACATGCAAAACCCTTCACATCTCCTGCTGCTCCATAACTTTCACCTCTCCTGTCCTACCATTTCTCACCTTTCAAACTCCATTGCAAAGTTTTTTAAGTTCTAAGATTTGATTCCTGACTGTTAGCTTAGATTTTATGTAAAGAAAAGACCTTTTTGGGAGGTTGAGAGTGTAAGATGGGATAAAAAGAGCAGGTTTTGTGAGAAGAATATTACTAGCGTGAAAGAGGAAGGTTTAACCCTTTCAGGGTCCGTGCCCTAGATCTACGGTTTTACGTTAATGGTCCTAACTGTAGATCTACGCCATGAGCTCGGCTCACTCTGATAAGCTGTGAGCGGTAAATTTGGGCCTAGATATGAGAGAATACATCTATGTGGTATGTGTGCACCACATAAAACAAATCCTACAGCACACAGTGCATAATGAGAGAAAAAACTGAGACCGTAATTTTCAATTAAAACAGCGACTTTGCAGTGTTTTTCGTATATTTTTTATAGTTGTATTTGTGATTTCTTGGTCTCATTTGATAGAATGGAAGATATATTACAGAAGTATAGATGATTTTGATTGGTTTTAATACTGAAAATGGCTTGAAACTGAGCTCAAAGTAGAAGAAATGTTAAATTTTTTGCCAATGTTCAAGAGTAAACAAATGACCTCACATGTCTAATACATGCCAGTTGGTGGGTCTAATATACATTCACAAATGTGGTGATATTATTTATACAATTATTACAATATTGCATAACAATATTGGTGTGAATAAAAATTGTGTAAATAAAAAATCAAAATGGAATTCATTTGTAAAGCCTGAAAACATAACTAATGAACAGAGGAAATGGTAGTTTAGTGCCAGGAATGCCTGCATTGTTTATTCTGGACCCTATTTTGAAATTGGAATATTTTGAACTTTGCATTAAATTGGCCAAATTACCAATTTCCAATCACTTTATTTTGTAGTTGAAACAGTTGACTTGGCGATTTCTTGTGCTCAATTGATAGAATAGAAGGAATACTAGTGAAATAGCTAAGAATTTGGCCAACTGGAATAATGTAATTGGCCTAAAATGGGAGTCAAAGTCAGCAGAATCACCGATGCTTAAATATCGCTGATGCATCAAAATTCACAAGAGCATAATTTCGTCAATTTTCCATCAAATTTCGTACTTCTTGTTTTATTACCTTCAGAAAAAGATTCTCTACCATTTCATAAGAAAAAATAACAAAATTATTTTTTGAAAATTCTTGGACCCTGGTGCACACTTTGAAATTTGGCCTCTGGACCCTGATAGGGTTAACTCAGCTACTGGGGATCACTGTCAACAGTCATCTGTAGTATATCAGTATAAATGATTGAGATGCAAGCCTCAGTACATTGGGAAGAAGACATGACAGTGTAAGACGAAGTGATGAATTCCTTTATAAATTATTTAGAAAACAACAACTGCTGTGTAAACCTTCATTTTTCTACCAACCAAGAGCATTCATGTGTGCAAGACACTTAGTAAATGATACAAGATCCCAGCTCTTTAGACATGGAATTAAGATTAGCAGTCTTTGCTTTCGAACCTTAATTTCTACAAACTGATCAGTGACCTTATAAAAATTAACCTTTGCATATTTCATGTTCAGTTGAAAGTAAAACCAGATTTGTTAGTTGTGTCTGACTTGTGGTCGAGGATAAGAATTTTTTTTATCAATTTCAGTTTGGAAAACTACTTTTACATGTAACAATAGACACACAGTCTTAAAAAATCTCAAATATTGACAAGTTTGGCAGATTCACAAATTTCCATTTCCATTTCACAATAACTCCAGAAACTGCAATGCTGTCTAATTTTTTGCCTCCTTAACACTGATTTTGGCCTGATGAAGTCATCCAATTTCCACACTATCTTCTTCATAAAATTCATCAAAAATCTGAGTCATATTTGGGATATACTTCCATAGTTCTTCTGTTGCAGACAACCAAAGTGTTTGGTTGAATAACAGCAAAGATTGACAGAATTTGATGCATTGCCTTAGAATGAAGCTTCAGTTCTTGATGAAAGCCAACAACATATTTATCGAACAGCTCTTTTTACTTCCTCTAGCAATGTGAGACCAGCATCTTTTGCCATATCTCCTGGCATCCTTTGTGAGAGCTTTACTCTCCCTCTTGTCTTAATTCCTTTACTGAATTGCTGATGAGTCCTTCACAATTTCTTCTAAATTCAAAAATGTTCAATTGGATTCTCAGTTTCTGTTGCCAACTGTTTGGTGAAAAAAATTCTTGATACACCAGAAGAAGAGTTCTATGGAAACCACTAACATCAACCACTTTTCCACATTTGACACATCTTGTGCCTAGTCACGCATCATGTAAGCACTCCATATTTCTGAAACTCTTTTGATGTTATGCCCTCCACAGATTCATGGAAATACAAAATGTGTCAGAGCTTGAAGATTTGCAGTGCAGTTTCTCAAGGTTGATTCCAACTGTTTGCAGATACTTCTGTGAAAAGATAAATTTCTTCCAGGACTTAACACCAGAAAGAAAGGTTACTCAGAAAAAGAGAAATTACATACAGCAAACATCAAAATCAGAGCTGACCCTCTTGTGTCCACATTTTCTTTGGGGTCACACAGTGCTTCAAAAGATGCCTTCACTGGGTTCACAGCATCATGATAAGCACTCCATATTATCTGGGAAACTCTTTTGACTGTTATGCCTACATTCTCCAGCAGCATTTCTCATGGATGAGGGGGAAACTAAAAAGAAGGAATAAACTCTCCAAGGTTTGAAAAAAGAATCACACATGAAGAAATGCATCTAAATGGGTTTATTTGCACTGTATGACCTGTGTAGGTTTAGCACTTCTCTTTGATTATAATAATAATAATAATAAATGGGTTCACTTTGTAAAGGTTCAGAGAATGATTTACACAAAGCACAAACAGAGCCTTGGGATTAATCACTCTGATCTTTGACTGAATGCCACCATGAATCCCAGCCATACTTGCAGCGTTGTCACATACCTGACCACAGCACAGTATATCTGGTATATCTATCTTTAGATGTCTCAGGATATCCTCTGTGAGCTCAGCAGCAGTCTTTTCAGCAGTA